AGGGAAGCACCTGCAGGCGTTGAAGAGGAGGGCTAAGGGGATTTTCCACCTTTATTTACCCCTTGGAGATAAGGGGAAGGGCCATGTTCTCTAATACCAATGAATTTTAAGCCATGTGCAGTGGCCGGTGCAGGCAGCTCTCCTTTGGGTCGCCCACCCGAAGGGGTGATGGGGCTGGGAGTCGGAGCAGGAGAGCTCCAGCCCCAGACGATGCCCAGAGCCTCAAGTGCCCCCAGGGATGACCATGCCCCACTATGTGCCAGCCCTGGGGGGGGACGATCCTCCTGGGGCAGCGAGGGTCCGTCCCCACATTTGGCCAACCCCCCCCATTGCAGCCCCGGCCGCGGGTCCGGGCTCCCCCAGGCTCACAGCTGCCCCCTCCCACGGCCGTGGATGGGGACACGGCACACACATGGGGCCCAACCGCCGGCCCCCGGCTACGGCCGGCACGGCGGAGGGGACGAGCGGGACCACAAGCGTCGGGGCTGGCAGGGGGGGGGCCCCGGGGGCCATCCCCAGCCCTCCCCTCCTGGGACCAGCAGCCCCGACTCCACATCCCAGGCCCAGCCTGATTATCCCCAATCCACATCCCAGCCGGCGGATAAACAAAGGGTGTCTGGTGCCCCCCGCCCCGCGCAGGCCCTCCCCTGGGCCGCTTACATATTCCGACAGCATTTCACACTGGGACCATCCCGTCATTAGAGGGTCATTTGCAGGAGCTGTCAAGGGTGGGCAAAGGAGGTGTGGGGCTAACCCCTGGCAGGAGGGGGTTGCACAGAAATCTGGCAATCTGGGCTCTTGATGAAAGAAAATTAAATTTTTTTCGCCTCTTCCTCCGCAGGTTTGCTACTCCCTCTCAAAACCCGTTGTCACACCGGCAGCGAAGCCAGGAGGTTTCGCTCTCCCACGCTCAGCAGCTCCTCGCCCCCCAGCCCCCTGCGTCCATCAGCCTTGCTGGGAGCTGTATCTTTGCGACCTCTGCCCCTCCATCAAGCCTGTTTCAAATGGAGCAGCGGGTTCAAAAGTCGCGGGGCAGGGGGAGGCAGGCAGCCGTTCCCTGGGAAGAGCCGGGTGGAAAAATAAAGGCTGAGATTCCAGGGCTGTAAGGAAAACATCAAAGTGTGGATGGCGACAATAAAGCTGCACTGCCATGCTTAGGCAAGGTATCTGCTAGCGAGCCTGGCTTTGCAAGGCTTGGGCTGGGAGCGGAGACCTAATCTCCGAGCAGAGAGAGCTCTGCCGCCTGGCCCTTCTCCTGCCCCAATACACATCAGCTGCGTGACAGAGGAGCCCAGACACACAGGACAATAAAGCGGGGGCACAGCTCCAGCCTTGCTGCGGGTCTCCTGCCCGGCACGGGCTGCCCTCCTGCAGGCCCCGCGCTCAGCACCTTTCCAGGGTGACCTTTCGGCATCGCCGGGCCAGAGGCTGCTGGCGCAGGGACACTGCGCGGGCGGTGGGACCGCAGGAACGGGGGACGCGGAGGATTTCACCCCATTCCCGCTGCACGGGCAGGGAATGGCCTGGCAGGCGCAGGCGGCCAGACCCTGCTCTTGTCTCCCCGCTCAGAGATGCTCTTGTGAGCCTTACCTGGGCAGAAGGGACCGCTTTTTGCATCAGTTTCTCAGGGGGACTTTTGCTGCAGAGCAGAAACCCTACAGCGAGTGCTGAGGCAGTGGAGCATCTCGTTGCCCTCCCCAAGGTGTCCGGGAGCTGGCAGGGTCCCTGCTTTTGGAAGGACTGGCTTGGCTTTAGCATCCTTACACATTGGCATAGGAAGGACAGAGCCTTCCCAATGCGGGGAAGGTTTTCTGGCAGGAAAAGTGCCCTGGCTGTAATGGGAGTGCTGCCTATCCATGCTGCAAGACTTGGATGCAAGCAGCGAGTCGCAGCCACCACCTGCCTGAGCTGCTGCCTGCGCCTCAGGAGGTAAATTTGGGTTTACTTTGGACACACGAGGAAAGCGTGAGTGAGAGCAAACAGACCGAAGGGCTTATCAAAGGCCCAGGGTAATATTTGTACAAATGGTGGATTAAGGCACTAGCTGGGTCAGGCAAGTATTGTTCGTCCCGTGACTGGGACGCGGAGCAGGACACAGGCATGCCGCTCTGCCCTGCTCGAGACGAAAAGGGGCAGGGACAGAAAATGCAATGAAAGGGCAACACTTGTCCCTCGGACCTCCCCGGAGCATCCCAGCTGTGCGAGGCAGCCACCCACGGCTGCCTCCCCTCCCGCCGAGCCTGCAAGGGCAGCCAGGCAGCAGCCTGCGCTCGCCACGGGGCTCAGCCTGCGGCAAAAGCAGCTCCTCAGCCCGCTGGGGCAAGTGCCGGGCAAGGAACAAACCCTGGGCAAGCAGGGATCTGCCCTGGAAACGCTGAGCTGCGCCTTACGTGGCTTAGGCAAGTTTGGAGCGCTAGAATATGAATGGATGTGGGAGATGGATCCAAAAACGCCGGGCTGAAGGGTGCAGCACCGGCTGGGGGTGTAAGGGAGGGAGGCGAACCGCAAAGGACAGGAGCAGGGGATGCCGAGACTGCGTGGTCCCACGCCACGGGCGGAGGAGACGTTCAAGGCACGGGTTTGGGACAAATCGCACCAGAGCGAATGCAGACGAGTGCCACGTCACGGCATCACGCGTTCACAGCTCCGGTAGCGACTCGCTCTGCCCCCAGCGACTGCGCTGCCGTGCTCGTGGCCCCAGGGCCCCGCACCGGGAAGCCAGCAGGAGCCCTGGCCCTCCCGGACCCCCTCTCGCACCTGGCCGGGTGCTTCGCAGGGTGCTCTCCCTCTCTCCGAATTATCGGCTATGAATCGCTGTCGGAGGCACCTGGCGCTTTGATGCTTTCCCCAGATCTACATAAGCACGCAGATACCGATGCAAAGCTGTCACGGCACGGATAAAATACTTAACACTTAAACACTTGTTACCCTCTAGTGTGGGGGTGGGAGGGAACAGAATTTAAAAGCATCGCTTGCAATAGTTAACACTCACTCCAAAGAAAACATGCATCACTTTCGTACCCAACCCCACGAGGCTCCCGTTCACCTCTGGGCCACTGCGGGTCAGAAACTCATAGCAAAAAAAGCAGCAAGGCTGAAATCAGCTTGTTTCTCCCCAAAGAGCCGCCTGGATGTGCAGCCCTTCACTCGGGATGGCACCACGGCGGGGGCACCTCCGAGAGGGGCCCAGGACGGTGCTGCCGCCCAGGGCAGCCAGGGACACCGGCACCACGTCCCCCCCCGAAACCTCACCCCCGCGTAACGGCAGCTAAAGCCAGCGTCGTAATGGTGGAAGGGTATTTCAGGAGAGTAAGAGGGGTGCAGAGAGCCCCTTTCCCACTGAGACCCGTTTGCCAAGGGTTACATCAACACAGCTCTTCCAGGTGTAAACCCACCCTCAAGCAGTAATTGCAAACATTTTGGTTAGGACAGAGCAGGTAAACAAGCTTCAGCACTGAGCGCGTAGACTTCGGTATTGCAAACACCCCACAAGTCCATCATGGCTTTTTTAGTCTACCCTAAAGGAACCGGCTTTGGACCAATTAACATCAACACGGTAGGTTTTCTTAAAACCAAGTCTAAGTTTTCTTAAAACCAAGTCTTCTGCTGCCTCCCCCAAAAAACAAAGCTGGAGGCTACTGTGATGTGGTGACCAGAGCAGGAGGGCCCTGCGGACACGCGGATCCGAACTGCTGCGCGACGCTGTCAGCAGCACCGCGATCTCACCGTGCTGTTTCTAGCTGAAAATATTAATTTAGCAAGACAGACGAGTCGGAGGCGACAGCAGCTCCTCTCTAAGCGCACATCATAAAACCCAGCAACTGGTACGGAGCTGCAATACTGATAAAGTGACACCTGAGGGCAATAAATTTGAATCTGTTCCCATTAAGGTTTCAGAGAAACACTTAATCTTATCTGTAAAAAATGCAAGTTTATCTGCAGCACTTGCTTTGTCTCTGTTTCTTCTGTTACTCATTATTAAAGGCTTGCATATCATAATGTCACAATTTAGCTTAATTAGCAGATATTTAAATGCTATCTACTGCGACAGATTTGAACAGACGCTCATTGTCTTTTAGGAAGTGGGAGGTTCAGGCCACGTCCTAATATGCATTCTCCTTCTTTGAGATGCCTCAGCCACCACCACCACCACGAGATGCCACCATCAGCAGCATCCCTAAAGCAGTAACGCGGCCGTGCGGTAAGAGACTGCTCCATAATACGCATTTATTAAACTGCGCTGAGACTAGAAGCGTAGATACTTTCTCTGGGGGCTCAAGTCAAACACTCCCGCAGTAAAATTACTTTCTCAGATGAAAATTCCCCTCTCAAAACCAGACAGACTTATTTCTAACCTACCAGCTAAACCCTCTCTTTTCCAAAGGTCAGTGTGAAGTCTTAATCCCTGCACACCAAGTGATAAAAAGGGCAAACAAACGTAAATCAGCATAAAAGTTTCAGCATGGATCAAAAAGCCAGCAGTTAAGCACTCACTTGCTGGAGGAGATCCGCTATTTTGGGAAGCGGGAATTGCAGCACAGCAGCTAGAGGCTCAGGATTTTCCCCAGCAGGGCAGGAGAAGGCAGCTCAGGGTCACTGCCCCTCTCTGAACTGATTTCAGCTGCTTCCACCTGTAGCCTGACTGAACCCTGCCCCTCATCAGGGATGGAAAAAAGGAGCTCACAGCCACCCGCACCATGCCCTCACAAAAGAACCACCTGGAAACACGCAGTGGACAGCTTTTGCTAACTATTTCTGGCAGCAGACTCAGAGCACACTGAAACTTGCAGCAGTGACCAGGTGTTGCCTGTGGGACATACACAGATGTTTCGCCAAGAGGGCTTAAGGCATCTCAGCCTTTGCTTCTGGGTTTCCCCAAAAGCCAGAGTGCTTATCTCAAGGCTATACACAGGACAACCCGACTGATTTTTCTGCAACAAGCTGGTAGTTTCTTACTGGAATGAGTAACAGACAGAAGCCATATTTATTGCATTCATCTCCATACCAGGAGACTCGAAATGATTTTTATTTCTCCCTTATATTGCATTTCTGTAACTTTTACAGTATTAAAATGATTAACAAAAGCATAAAACTGGAAACAAAAAAAACAATCATTGAGAGTGTCTCCTCCGGCACTCCAAGGCCCATCATCATCAGGGGCTGCGCTTGGGTATTCGCACCCACACAGAGAGGCCGAGACTCGGTCCTTCTAACGGGACACGCTCTGTTCTCGGAAGGGAAGAAACCGCCTTTCCCAGGAAGCAGGAAGGCACTCAAGGCATGGGCTACTTTGAAGCCTGGCTGGTGGGAATCCTCAAGACAAAGTCCTGGTTCTTCACTGGATAAGCACTCTCAGGGCACGTGCTTTAGATGTCCATGTCAAACTGCTCTTCCTCACCTGTTGAGAGGGACCAAAAAAACCACACAAATGAGTCCTCAAAGTTTCACATTAAATACCTAATATTTTATTGAAGGAACAACCATCAGCTGTGCTTCAGAAATGTGGTGGTTTGGACTTAAAAGCTGCATCCAGGCATCGAGTTTGATATGAAAACCATCTTGTACAAGCAAAATGTAAGCTCTGTCCCCAGAGGGGATCTTACTCCCAGACAGATGAGCAAAAGTAGAGAAGATGCCCTTTAATTTATTTCCACCCCTGGCTTTCCTTCTAAAAAGAAATGTAAAGAATAATGTTGATGACAATCACTGGTAGAAGCTTTGTTACCAAAGACACAAATGCACATTTCACAACTTATTCTCTGTACAGCTGTTACCACAGCTCAGGCAGTTTGATGGGATGCCAACGTGAGCAGCGATGATCTATTCCTGAGGACAGGGCTTCTTTGGAAGAGCCAAAACGAAGCTGGCATCCAGCATGCAGCCTGCTTTTCCGTGTGCCAGAGAATCCAGCAAGCCACTAAAGGTCACAGCAGTGCGTAACAAAAAATATTAAGCAATATTGACTCCAGAAAGATTTTGCTTAGCCAACTAATGAGCATTCAGAGGTTTATTTTTAGAGAGAAGATAATCATACTTGGTAGTTTCAGGTTGCTTCAAGAAGTAATAGCTTTAAAAAAGAACTGTTCAAGAGCAATACTTGCTCGTTTTCCTACGACAGTGCCTTTAGTTAAGTGTTGATGTGCACAAAGTGGCCAGTGACCTCTGTTCTCCCGTGGACTAACCTCTACCTTGCTACCTTATCCACACCTGCAAGCTTCTGCTGAGCCCCCTAAAGAGAGTAATGGCTACTGGATAATCGATATATACAAATCAGGTATTACATCCTAGCTACATAAATTGAGCTCACTTGCACACCAGAAGTCTCAGAGTCAAAAAAAGGCAGAAGGAATTTACAACCCAGGCTGATATTAAAACCCCAAGCAAGTCCTACTCCGATTTGTAATCTGATATTTTTCAAAAATGCAAAGCAGCTGCAAAATGGTCCAGGATAGAGAGGCAGCAACACTGCACCCACGCTCTCCCCACAGGACTATTAATCCAGCAGCAGCTTCCCAATTGCTAAATTAGTGAGAATAAATTGATTATGACAAATTACATTTAACTAATTGAAAAAAACATCACATTACCAGGGACCACAGCAGAACCTAATACCCATGAGAACCTAATTACCCCATAACATCAAGCACACTTTGATTTTGCAAGTTATCAGAGTATTGACCATAGCTTATAGGGATCTCCTGGCTCCAGTCCATGGGTAAACTGTGGTATTTCTAGGAACCAGCAGTGCACATCACTTGTTTTTTGCATGCGCTCACCTGCGCTCACTTTCTCATCACAGTTTTGGACATGGTTGTTCTCAATCTTCAACTCCTCCACATTTGGGCTTGTAACACCTGGAATGTCCGGAAGGTCAGAAGGTGGTGTTTTGGCAAGCGGAGAATTGCGGCACTCCATCAAAAATTTACGATCATAAATAATCCTGGTACCTGGAGGGAGAGAACAACACTGTCAGTTTTCAGCATTTGAATGCATGAAATACAGCTGGGCCATCTTCGCAGCTAGGCGTGTACAACAGGAGTCATTTAAAATGGTGCCTGCTGTTTAGCACTTACTCTGTTCATTCTGTGCTACTGTGCAAGAAAGCCAGATACAATTAACACTATCTGCCAAAAAAAAAAAGTATGAAAGAGTCAGGTACCCAAGTAATAGCTAATGCTACTGGTCTGGTGCACAGAGAGAACAGACTCCGAAGTCCAGACTGACGCTGCATGCGATAGGTGGAAGGGGCTGGATCTAACTCAAGGTCGCAGCAAAACCCAACGAAACAGTAAACTGAATTTCATTTCAGCTCATAAACGTAACAGGCTTTTCTAAGTTGTCCGGGGCTGAGAACTGAAGGTGGACACAAGCGCACACACCAGGTAACAGGACGTAGCACCACCTCCTTATGTCACCCTGGACACTGCCCAGCAGGAAAATTCCTGCACGGGTGTTTATTTTGCAGCCCAGGTGCTGCCTGTCCAGCCCAGTCACAGACACCTTTCAAAAGGCCTGAAAACAAAGTTGTTAATGCCCACCTGTTTTAATGGTTAACCAGACCACATCCTACTCTCCCTGCCCCACGTGGAACAAGCCAGCTCCAGCACATTACAGCGAGCCTCTACGGGAGCACAGCTCGGCTCCGGGCACGGATTTCTAGGAATACCACTGGACTGAACAGCTCGTTCCTTACAGAGGAATTGCATTGGAAAAAGCTCAAAAACCACACACAGAAATGGGATCCCTCCAAACAGACTGCAGCCTTAACCCAGAAAGTACTGAAAATCAGTTTTTTCTTCCCTCAAGAGGAGGCCTGCAAACCTCCTCTCTGGATCAGGCCCTTACTGCTCTGCTCCTGCAAGAGGGAAAGGCAATTTCTCCTTGGGTACTCTCTGAAAAACTTTAAAAATACACACGTGCAGGGAAACAAGCTTCCATTAACATCTGTCCAGGAACATTAAACCCACTTTATTTTGAAGCATGGCTATAAAGTAATGTAGCTGGATATCATGTTTCAAGAAAGTTGTGCAAATGAGCTCACAAAATGCTGGAAGCCTTTTCACTGGAAGATTTTGAATTTGGAGTTGCTTCACTAGATCCAAGGGGAGATCACACCCAATTCAGACCCGTGCTATAGCAGTTTGCTGGGTTTGAGAAGGCAGGCAAAGTTGAGTTTAGCAGGCAGGCCTGCAAGCGGAGTTTAAATTCCTGGGAGGTTCATAGAGGCGAGGATGGGGTTTCCTAGAACTGCAGCTCATGTACCGGGTATTAAGAGCACAGTTCAGGCGGACAAGAGCTTCCACGCCTGGTTCACGTTCCTCCGGCAGTCACATGCCCAGAGCTTACGACAGCAAACACCCTGCAGACAGCCAGAGCAGGACACCCAGCCACCGCTGTCAACAGGCACAGCCCCAGGCCATAAATGGGCCTCCAACATGTCAAGCTGAGTTAACAGCAGTTCTCCTCCTGTTGTAAGGGAGAGTATTTAGTATGAAGGACTACACCCCATGGGAACTGCTCTGCTCCCTGAAAGCCCTGGTTATACCACAGCTTCAACACCCGACTGCCTCACTGCACAAGTTGGGAAGTCCAGATGAGAATTTGGCTCACTTTGAATATTTTCAACACTAGGTTTGAAGAAGTGTCCAGTACCGCACCTTGTTCCTTCTCTGCTCCCTGATGGAGCACAGGCACCGTGAGCTGCGCTGCTCTAAGAGCCATCCCATGCCCACTGAAAGAGCCAACACCTCCGTGGCCGAGCAGCAGCACCGGAGGCAGCTCCTTTGCAAAAGGCACTGCGAGATTGCCACCCGCTCTGCGCCACGAGCTCTGCAGCTCGCCATGCATCTCTGCTCATGACAGACCGAGCCGCTGGGATTCCCCAGCTACTACTGCACGTGGGCTTTACTTAAAGACAATGTGCGTGTGCCCTCAGCAAGCGGGCGAGGAGCCAGAACAGGCACAAAGGGAATACTGAGAACAGACTGTGCTTAAAGATCACACATCTCTTTCATGCTCCTCTGTGCTTCTTCATAGCATTTGGGTTGTTTGTTTTTTTTTTTTTTTACCACTGTGACTGCTGTAAGAAAAACAGCTACTGCCTGTGCTGGCAGAGGACAGGGAATTTCTTTGTTCCACCATCCCTTCCAACGGTGATCACGGAGCCCAGAGAGACCTGTGAAAGTAGCTGAAAAGGGAAAATCAAGTCCTTTTTTCTGATTGCTGGCACCAAACGAAGGCTCAGAACCCACGGTGAAACTCTGCTCACTCACATCAGTCCCAGGCTGGGCTGTGCTGCTCCCAGGATTAGAAGGAGGACACTTTAGAGCACCACACATGACTGCCTGCCCTCCTCGGATGGGCCTCTCTTATCCAAACTGTATTTTAGGATGTCAATTCAACACTTCTGAAGACTCAAAAGCAACCTGCCTAAGAACTGGATCTCAGTGCTGTGCACGTAACTCCGCGTACCGTAGCTGCGGTGTACGACCTTTTCAAAAGCCTTCAGTCACCCAGCACTGCTGCTGCGGGTTTCTAGCTCTGGCACCCAGCCCTTTTCCCATCGCTCACATCCCCAGCGCTGCCTACAGCCAAAGAGATGACTTCAGAGATTACAGTCCTCAATTCTTCTCTGAAATTAGTCAGAAGTTTTGCATGACAAACTTGATTTGCTTCTTTCTTCTGATTCTTCAGATTTAACCTACTGTTTTGCAGGAAATCACAGACTTTCTTCAGTGGGCTGCAAATGTTCAACACATGTAACAAAAGCACCTAAAACAAGCGCTTCTGAAACACAAGATTATTTCTACAGCAGTCAGGGCTTATTTACAAAGAAGCAATGCAAAGTATTCTGCCTGCATCAGTGGCTAGATGGGTTAGCAGAAAACAGATGAAGAGAGCCCAGCCCAGGAAGCAGAGGGGCTCTGAGTCCAAGCTGGCCTGGCCCCAGCACCCTTTAAAGCAACACTTTAGGGCATTCATCTGGGGAGTTTGCTGTGAAATGTATTGACAATGTTTTCCCGAGAGCTCTTCCAGACCGTGCAGGACAAGGAATTCTTTGCAAAGTGACCACGAAGGCAGACCAACAACCCAAGGCTAACACCCCCCCCCCCCCCTCAGGTCCTTCGGGAGTTTTAAATCATTCCTCCTTTTAGCACCCGAACCCAACACCTGAAGGCAACCGGCCAGTGCCTGCAGCTGGGCCTCGGCAGCACGAGCTGTCCCCGAACAGGCTGGGGACAGACCCAAGCACCACACAGTCACGAGAGCACTGTGGATTTTGCCAGGTGCACACACCCCAACAATAAACACCATTTGTGTTTCTCCTCCACACTCTAGACATTCATTAACTCTCCAACAGAGATGATAATCCTGGAAGGCTCATTACCCTGCACAGCACTGTTAATTGTTCATTTCTATTCTGTTACTCGGAGCACATGAATATAGTTGAGAAAGTCATTCGCGTTCCATCTTCCATGGCATAATTACTGCGAGTAGTATTTAAGTACTTCAGTTATTTGCTGCTTTCAGAGAAGCGAGAACATATGGCAAAAATAACACAAGAACTTCAGTTCCCCAAGCAAGCTTTTCTGCACAAACACAAAAAACCAAGTGAGTCAGCAATGCCGACTTCCCCCTTCTCTCTGAATTTTAACCCCTGAAATATTGTGTTGTAAAGAGACCAGTAGGTCTGAGGGACAAACAAAACATCCTCCGCTGCCTCCCATTTAGTTTCTTCTTTTGGCTGAACTTCAGGTACAGTGTCATCATTCCTGCAGCTCACATCGATTTTCTTTTTTTTATGCAGCAGGACAGGGGAAAAATTCTTAAAGATATGGAAAAAATTCTTGCAGGCAGCTGCTGTAGCTGGAAATACATGCAACTGGTCTGGTGCCCGGTGTCATCATCTGGAACAGCAGCCGCTTGTCTCGAAAGCCAAACTACTCAAAATAAACAGGCACTCAAGCAAGCGGCGTGGACGCAAAACCTTTCAGATGAACAAGCCCTTTAGGGAGCTTCGCACATTATGTCCCAGCTGTAGTACGCAGGGACAGAGACACGCGAGGCGCAGCCAAGATAAACGCTAAGCTTGCGGGCTGTGTACATGCAGCCCCCTCAGCTGCCTCCACTCCGAGCAGGCAGCGAGCGCCGCTAACTCCGACAATCAGTTTATTCTTATTTGAAGACCGAATCCCTAAGAGATACCACTCCTGGTACTCACACGCAGCACAGCGAACGGGGCTGCACAACGAGACTTGTGGCAAAGAAAGAGGGAACCGACCCACTCTCTTTTTGCAGTAGAGAAGCACTGCACTTTCAGAAGTTAGAGCAACTTGGGAAAAGAAAAAAAGGCCCCAGCGTTTACTTACTGCCAGAGGAAACAGCAAATATTAGAGATCAGAATTAATAAGTAACCCAAATTGGGTTTGCTCCCTGCAAGGCTGCCCAAGAGCACTAACAGCAGCCTTGTTTTCCAGCACGGACACCCAGGCGGACGCTGTTTCGCTGCACTGGCCCTGGCACCCTCTCGGCGAGGTGGGAGCTCCAGGGAAAAGCCTGGCCCTGCTAAGCCAGACCCCGGCCCGGGGGAGGGGGACCCACCCCGGGCAGCACACGGAGCTCCCAGGCCCAAGCAAGGCCGTGCCAGCCCCGCAGCGAGAA